GTCTCTGGATAGTCTTTTTGATGATGTAGGAAAAGTGGCATTAATACAAACACGTAATATAATACAGCTTGTAAACCCAACTTTATTTATGTCCATTATGTAAAGAATTCCGATGTCCAATAACTTATTATCTATATCATCGAGTTTCGTTAAATCACCTAATTCCATGCTCCAATGATCTTTCTGATAATCTGTGAGTTCGCGAAGATATTCCTTTTCATTGTCATCCATTTCTTCTATTTCATCTTTCAACTTAGTATGAGTCACATTCATGTACCTTTCAAGGTTTCCTTGCAAAACTCTTGTCCACTTATCAAGGGTTGGCCGAAAATCATAAAAAATCTTCAATAAAATCATGAAAGATGCCGGGTGTCCACAAGATTCTTCTATAATCTTGGTTCTCAAATCAAGTAAAACACCATTTTTATCTAAGTTTGATTGATATAGATTGAAGAGCTCGCCCATCTCTTGAATGCTGAACATTGGCATTTGTTTGAATAAGGCCTTGTTGAAAGGCGAAATAAGTTTGTCACTGTCACTTTTCTTCAAATCCACAAGCTTAAAGGTGCCCACAGCAACATAATGTATATTCATCGCATTTGAAATTTCTCGGAAGAAATCTTTAGCCACCTCACAAAGCTCTGGGTTTGTGAAGATATATTGGAATTCTTCGATAAGGATGTATAAAGGATCCTTTAGATTGTAGATATGTGCAAAAGTTTTTGTTTCATCAAGCGTTTCCTTAAAGAGCATAAATGACATGTAATCGTAAAACCCTGTTCGCACGTTGGTTAATATGGATCCTTTTACACCTGCCATCGTGAGATGCGCAAAATCTAGGCTTTTACCAATAAATGACGTCCTGAGATGGAACAGAAAAGTTGACTTTCCGCTTTGATAAGGACCATGAATAACAAACGATTGTCCATTCAATAAAATAGATTCCACTTCTTGAAAGAAATTTCTAGAAATCATCAATGAACCCGAAAGTGGTTGTAATGGTCCATCTGTCGTTATGATATTATTCTCTCGTGGTTTTTTCCTAGCTAATAAAAACGGAAATGATAAAGTTAAGAAATAAATAAGACAATCAGTATAGGTTTAAAGTATTAACAATTGTATAGCAAAGCAAAAATGAAACACGGTTATAAAAATCAAGCCAGATTACGCGTTCGCTCGCGTTGACTAATTTATTACGGCTCACTTACCACTGGGTTGCTCTACGATAACGCGAATGTGTTTTTTGGGCGGTTCGACGATAAGAAGCAGGAAAGAAAAGCACAAGAATAAGTACGTATTCGGTATTATTGGCGAATATGACGCGCAAGAAAAGAAGGAAAAAAAAATGGTATGACTCACCAGTAACGGGAACGTCAACAATAACTCGAATATTATTTCCTACAACGTTTTGAAATGTATTTCTAACCGTATCGGCTGGATCATCTAATTTTTCGTTTAAGTAGGGTTCAATAGCAGTTTCTTTGTTCCTAAGTATATTCGAAGCAACATTGGTTCTCCATAGAATTAGTTCGTCGGCATCAGCATTAACAAAATAATTTGGCTTCCCCTCCTTGATAACTTTTTTAAGGTCGTCAAGATCGTTACCCAATCCTATAGTAATTTTGAAAATAGAACGATTTTCACGAACGATACACCAAAGATTAATAAGCGTTCGAGTTGGTACAATATTAGACATATTGTATCACGAAGAATGGATAAATGGGGAAGAAATTTCTTTTTCGAGAGTTTGATATAAATAAGGGGTAAGGTCGCACAGATTAATTATTTCAAAGTCACATGATTCCGATTGTTACGTTTTTTTTTACAAAGAAACCTGAAACTTTATTGATTATTTTATAGAAAAATGCTAGAGAAGCAAATGAAATGTATGATGCTATCAAAGAGAGGGAGTACGCGGATCCTAGGCCATTTAATGCGAGTCCCAGCATCAAGTTATTTCTTTGCTCTCTCACGTTTACGAAAAATATCTATAGCTAATTTGTTTCTATTGCTAATATTTCTAATTACAAGATTCTCATCCCTATACTCTTTTTCTACACTAGATTTTCGAAATAAATTATTCCACCCATGTCTACAGGATTTTTGTCTATCTTTATCTCTCCCAAACACGCAGATTATGTAAAATAATATTCCCCGTAATGAAACTTCTCAGAGATTAAGTAATTCGGGAGATTAACAACTAAAAAAAATATTTCCAATTCATACTTATCAGTTATTATTATTATTAATTTTGCGCAACATTACATTTCGCCTTGAAATTTATTACTTAATGCATTACAAAGGTAATTCGATTTTTTTATTGCCAGTACGATACTGCGCCAAATTTTGTTGAAGCGTGATGTTAAGGCATGTGATGAGATTCATGTGAGTAATTTCACTGTGCCTATTGTACGCGTGATGATTTTCAAAGATTTTCTTGGCAAAGATCAAAACGCCGATATATAACAAGAAGAGTAATACGTCCGTTTTATTTTGGAACATCTATAGAGGCGGGAAAATTGATTAACATTGTGATGACATGTTTCAAGAAGCTAGCTGAGCAATAAACTAACTTACTTTATTATGACTTCAGTTTGTGGAAAATGCAAGTTTGTTTAATTGTTAATATCAATGATTTTAATAATGGTAAGCTTGATTGATTTGAATTTTTTTTTTTTGCTTGATTTTTATTTTACTTGCATGAGGCAGATAAAAGGATTCACTAGCCAAGACATCAACTTTTTATACAATTTGATCAATCTTGGAATATGCTTTTGGGGAAAATTATGTTAATATGAATACATCATGAAATCTGATCAACAGCTTCTCCTTAATTTAACAATAAAGAATTTAACATTATCCATAATCCGTATGTAAAGATCATTAAGGGGCTATACATAATTTTGAGAATGTGTGAGAAAGTTTGAGAACAAATAATTATTTTGCACAATTACTTGTTCCTGTGATACATGTAATGATTATTATAATATTACTGCATATTTATTATTAAGCTACAATAAATTTGATCAAAAAAATAATAGTAAACATTTTGCTGCACACAATCTCATTGCTCATTCTATGTGAAAAAATTATAAAATGTCTGGTAAATTTGCACTATCTTTACAGAAACCTTCAATTTTCCTAAATATGTTTGATATATCACCGATAGATAGCATTTATGAATATAGCATATTACCATGTATGCAATATTGCTAAGATATAGTCTATATACAAGCAAAATATATTGATAATATGTTCTTTATATGCCAAAATTCATATTAAAAACAAAATATGACCAACGTATATCTAAAATACATTTGAGATATGTTCTTTATATACTGAAATTCATATTGTAAATAATGTATGAGTAACATACAATTGTAATGTGTTTGATATATTCCAAAAATACATATTAAATTTACTCTTAAATTTATATGCTTTAAATTTATATGTTAAAATCTATTCTAGCATCCTTCCAGCTTCAGTAACAATACAAATGATTACAACTTTTTTTCGCTTTGACTTTTAATTAATAGAAAATTTTGATTAACAAAGAAAAAAATTTTTTTTTTGTTTTAAAAGTAATAAAAAGAATTAAGCAAAAATCAATAACCCAAGTGAAAAACTAAAAGGAAAATTGTTTTATAAAGGATAAATAAATTTACATTTTTGGAATGAAAGAAAATGAGGACAATGTTAATCACAATTCTCGGATTGGTAATGATTCAACTAAATAGAACTCATAATAAATTAGCTGAAAATCAACTACTGATTTTGGAGAGCGTCTAAAGCTATATTTGATCACATGATATTGCTATATTCATCACGCCCTCCAGTTTTTCATTTTTACTATATTGTATATCCCGGAGACTTGAATTTTTTCGAGAGTTGAAAAATTATTTGTCACATATTTATTTATCATGCCTGCACTATTAAAAATCACGTGATCAAACACAGCTTTAGACGCTTCCTGGTTTTGGCTAAAATTCAAATATTAGTCAGCTATTAATACTTCATGAAAATTAAACAAACCATTGCTAAACTTTGACTATTTCAACGTATAAAATGTTGTTAACCATAGCTTGTAATACTAAGATAATCAGTGATTTATAGCTTAACTGCAGTGCAATTCAACTGATTAAAGTTTAAGCTTTTATAGTTTAAGCTTAAACTTTTTTTTCTTTCCTTTCGTAATTTCCCCTTCCTCTTGTAATTTTCGTAATTTCTCTTTCCCTTTCTCTCACTCTTACCTATCCCTTTTCATTCTTTTCCTTTCCTTCCTTATTTTTCTTTTCAAGTGGCTTCTTGGTTTTTGGACATGGTACTTCATTAGGTGTTATAATAATAATCTATTTATTTACTTCATCTTTAAAAAACAACTTCTAATTTCTTTTTTTTAGACAACTGGACGTGTGAGAAATTTGAAGTGACATAACCATTGGTAAATTACTAAAAAGCAACGATCATATTAACAAAATGTTAAAAGGTATATCATAAATTATGTTCTTTTTGGTTTTTATGTGACAAAACATTAATTAACGTTTTGTGTTTTGTATTTTGTAGTTTAGACAGCTTTTCATTAACTTTGACGGATGGTGAGTGATATTTTTTCTAATGTTGTTTTTAACAAAACATTACTGTTATTTTCATTCTTTTCTTTTTTTGAGCAATATATCCAAGCACTGTATGTTCAAATTAACCACAACTTCAATGCAAAATCAGGGCATGGGATTTTGATAAGATATTTTTAAATTTCATCATTCCACCTTTTAAAGGATTGTTATTAATTTCTATTTTTTTCTTTTTTTTTAGGCGGTTTAGCTCTTTGGCTTTTTGGACGTGTGGAATTTGGTAGGAACATTCTTTTTTTTAGATAATACTTTCAGGACGCGTAAAATTTTAATTTTTGTTTTAATTTTTTATTATTATCTTAATAGGTAAAGTTTTAGAATATTAACTTTTTTTTATTTTTAACAATTTTACTTACAGTCCATTTCTTAATTCTTTTTTTAGGTGTATCTTTCAGTCTCTGGAGTCTAGACGTTAGTAAAATTTTTAATAATTTTTATTGAACGAAACAGCTACTAATGTTACATTTTTTTTTGTAGATAGCTGGTGTAGTGCCAGAACTCACCATAACATATAATTAACCACAAAAGTGGTAGGCAACTCAAAAGTTTGTAGTGCCAGAACTCACCATAACATATAATTAACCACAAAAGTGGTAGGCAACTCAAAACCGAACTAATGAAAAAGTAACAATCACGTGTCCTTAAACAATAATAACAATTACACCAACAGGATAATCGTTTAGCCGGATGATCGACAAGAAGTACCAGACCCGACGATCAATCAAGGAACTAATGATCGGCATGCAAATCATCTGATCTGATGATCAAGTGACCAGGTAGTGACACCAAGAAGATCATTTAACCGAATAGTAGCACAGCCAAGGAGTAGGAGTCATGTGAAATATTTAGTGTAGCATAAATAGTTGTAACTTAGAAACACCAATAATATTTTAGTATCACATAGAAATCGGTGAAACCCCAATTTGTATAAAATAACCCAATTTTCCTCTTGATTTTGAGCAGAGACTTTTTCTGAACTTTAAAAATTTAGAATTTTAGTCTCAATAGTTACCGAACAGAGACTTTTCTCAACGGAATTCCCAGAGAGTTTCCCGAAAAGAAACTCAGTCTCAAGGATAACAAACCAAACACTTTATGAATTTTTTTTTTTAAAAATAATAAAGTCCAAACTTTTTGTCTCATAAAATTCAAATGTGTGAAGAAAATATGCACCGAACTTTGTAACCATATTAACGCATGTAACTTACCGAACAATAAATATATTAACCGAACTTATAAAGATGAACTATGTCTATGACATAAATTAAATGAACTTAATGCAATATCGAACCATAACAAACGTCTTACAAACTTATATTGATACCAAACAATAACATTACTAACGAACGTATAGTTATAAAATGATAAAACCGAACTTGTGCAATATCGAACTATAACAAATGTCTTACAAACTTATATTGATACCAAACAATAACATTACTAACGAACGTATAGTTATAAAATAATAAAACCGAACTTGTGCAATATCGAACCTAAAAGTCTAGCTATTACAAACCGAACTTTGACATTAAATCTATAACATTAATATATCTATTGAACCATAATTAAACTAATGCCAACATTGAATCCTTAGTTAATGCGGAGCTATGCTCGAACACTTGTAGCTATAATATCGCATTAACCAAAACCACTAAACCAAGCACTTACTTAATCATTTGTTATCATGTTAGCGAACTCTACTAACTTTACCCTTGTGACCAAGATGGTGGCAGCATCTTGCCGTGGTGAACCGCCTGTCACACTGGTTTTTTAAGTGCTTGGGAAAGTAGAAGATCCGGTAAGTTTTTTACTTTTATTTTGAACTAATTCTTTTGAATTAAATGACCACTAACATTTCATACACTATTTTTTTTAGATGACCAGTTTTTGAGTATTTGAACACGTAAGATTTTGGTAGGAGGAATAAATTTTTGACGATACATAACTTTATGGCATATTACTATTAATCACTGTTATTATATTTTGGCATGTAATTATTATATAATTTACATAATTTTGCAATATTATTTACATATATTAGATATATAATAGTTATTAAAAGAGTAATCATGTATTTTTAATATATGGGTATCATATAA